GCGATCAGGGCAACTTGAGAACTTATCGTTCTATTGACGAGAATCGATAAGTTGATTTTGTCAGAGGTGTGATTTTAACGTGACAGAAAAAATATTACGATCGGAGCAATTTTGAGGACTTATAGTTCTATTGATGAGAATAGATAAGTTGATTTTGTCAGAGGTGTAATTTTAACGTGACATTTGAAATATTACGATCGGAACAATTTTGAGGACTTATCGTTCTATTAACGAGAATCGATAAGTTGATTTTGTCAGAGGTGTAACATTAACGTGACATATGTGAGGAAAGAATATTATAGCGTCTCACTTGGGAGAACTGCTAAGTGTTTTATCGTCAGGGTGATCAATTGTGATACTTGGAACAAGATTTTGGGGGAGTTTGTTACTCCACGGAAAATAGGTTATTTATTGCTCTGCTGAGGAGAGCTAATAAATTAACAATGATTTGGAGACTTATCGTTCTATTAATGAGAACTGATAAGTGGATTTTGGGGTGTAGTATTAGCCCGATGAGAATTTAGATTATGCTGATGAGATACAGAAGCTTTGACTAACTCTCTGTTAAGAGAGCTCATGACTTTGAGGGATAAGTGTTGTGTTTGATGACACAAATGTAGATTCTTCATTTAGAAGAATTATTGTGTTTGATGACACAAATGTAGATTCTTCATTTAGAAGAATTATAACGCTGAAGTGACCTTCGCGTTTTGGGTTCAGAAAGCGAGGTTCAAGATTCTTCATTTAGAAGAATTATAACGCTGAAGTGACCTTCGCGTTTTGGGTTCAGAAAGCGAGGTTCAAGCCTTCATAACGCTGGCCTGAGCCTTACGCTTGGGGTTTGGAACGCGGTTGTGAACTTCGCGTTTCGAAGATGGTTGAGATTCACTCCTAGAATCCCATGCCATCTAAACAGCTTGACGGCTGTTATAAATAGACCTGAGTGGTCACGTCAAGAGTCATTTGACTCTCTAAAATTTCAGCTATTTCCAAGAACGAGAACTCTCGTTTGATTTTGGCAAGATCTCCGATGAGCTTCGTCTCTCTCGTTCAAAAGAGTTTCCTCCGATCGACTGCATCAATGGCGCCTCGGAGAACGAGCTCTAACTCCAAGAAAGTCGTCGGAGCGACCTCCGAGATGCCGTCGGCTGAGGACGCCGGTGGTGTCCTTGTCCATGCGGGAACTTCGTCGTCAACATCGCCGCCGCAGGGGCCTCCCTGTCGTGGTGAGTGCTGACTGAAATAACTTGCCTTGGCAAGTTCCTTGACAACCCTAGATGGGTTCTTGATAACGAGGAAGATGACTCGTTTTAACTCAATGAAAACGCGGGGTTGGGATCCCATATGGGTCTCGACCCTCACGTTCAAGTTTTTCAACACGAGGTTGACTCTCGCGTTTGAGGCTTCTGACGCGAGGTTCGACCTTCGCGTTGGAGACTTTGACATGAGACTTTAACCCTTTGTGTTTTAGACTCTGTCTTTATGTCGATAGTTCGCTTCTAACCGCTAACCTCTGCTTTTGATTGTGCAGTGCTTCTCCCAAACGTGCCGCTTTCACAAGAGCATCATTTTGGATATATCGGTGGACCTGACACGAATGAACCGTTCAGTCTTCAGAGCAGGATTCCGTTGTGTACTTTCCCTGATTCGGAAAGAGCGGAAATGATTAAATTCCCTCAATGCTCTACTCTCAGGGTTCTGATAACTGACTTAGACTTGGAGACCCCTGTCGGTCATGCCCAGTTTCCTAAACCAGCATTCATATTTAGAGATCGCATACCAGTCAATGATCATCTCACATATGTGGAAGATTCAAAGATACTGCGGAGAGTTGATAGTCACCTTTTCTTCCTTCACAACATGAAGAGGATGTACTCGCTCTCCTACTTTTTGAATGTGAGCTGCCGTCGGGGTTTGACCTTCGACATAGTAAAGGAGAAGGAGAACGTGTCGCTTGGATTTGGTCGGTGAGCTCGTACACAAATTGGGGAACAACTCAAGGGGTTAAGACCTGGTTTGTTTGATAAGAAGGAACTGGTTCCGGAAATGTCACGTCCAGCGAATATCTTTATCTGCTAATTCCTTGCAATTCAGGGTGAATTCTCTACCCAGACGATCAGATCCCCTGGATGGGTCTGTTCTGGAGAAGGAGGTTGGTGGACCCGCATGGTTGACTTCGTTCTTGAGGGGCTTGAGGAATCGCTCACTCAATCGGGTCTTACAGTTCCTGTGTTAGCTACATGACGGGGAGTCGTGCTGAGTTTTCACAATTTCTTCGCCATGTTGGAGAAATATAACCCGGACAGCTACACATTTTTCACACCTGCAGGAGAGTTAGGTTTTGCTCTCCATGAGATACAAGCAGTGTCGGGGCTGCCGCTTGGAAAAACGCCCTACGAGGAGTTTACCGAGGAGCTTTCCTTATTGAAGGTGGCGCACCCGGAAATTTATGCTACCTTCTAGGAATTGATGTGCCACTTCCACATATGTGCCCAAGTCTTTGGGATGCGTGGAGGGGGCATTATGCATACCACATGGGCGGAATACCTTTTTCAAAATTTAAACCGGAAAGATGTAGCCGTATCTCGGGTTGCTGTGATCTCTCATAAGGATGCCAAAGCTCGAATTACAGCTTCCAGCGCTACCTATAAGACAGAGCATGCCGATGATGATTTTGAAGCTGGTGCCGAGTTTGAAAGTTTTCACTACCAAGCGATAGTTCCCATCTCTGACACGGCTCTACTTGCGGGCTTCTTCATGATTTGGTTGAAGCGGTGCGTAGTACCGTCAAGACCAATAGAGGCAATATTAGCTGAGGTTGTGTACCCAGCTGTTTTGCTAGCGCACGGGAGACCTGTGAGTCTCCTTACTGCTATGGTTGGCTGTATTCAGAATGGCCTGAGGGTGTTGACTTCAGAACTTCTCAGCGCTTCGAGGGTCAAAGCTACTAAGAAGAAAGCTGGGAAAGCTCCTCAACCACGTGTTCCAGTGCCGTATACATATCTAGCGGCCTGGTTCATGTTGCATTGCCCTTCATTGATGACGGGAGTATATGAGGGCGATGGCGTTTATATTCCCTTTGTACAGAGACTGGAGTCGGCCACGTGGACTAATTCTTACATAGTCAGGGCTCGACAACTTCTATCCCGGGAGGACAATTACCGGATTTTTGGTTGAGCTCCTAATTTTGACGGGGCTGACGTGGAGGACGCCCGCTTCATAGACTTGCTTTTTGAGGGCTCGTCTTCTTTGGAAGAGGGCACATTTAGCTGGCTTCTTATGATCAGGCTGGGCTACCTGGTCTACCGCTTGCGGGAGAAGTGCATAATCGAGCCCTATATGCCTTCTCGGTTCGCCAGACAGTTTGGATATGACCAACTCTATGTTGTCAATCCCAACCCGGCGTTAGCTCAGATTAGGAATTTGTATGAAGGAGCTCGTGCATGGTACTTCTTCTCCGCTGGGGGAACCCATACGAAATTCACCTTACCCAACTCATCGCCTGGCTGCTCTACTGTTATGGATTTCCGCCAATGGTTTGCTGAAGTTTCTCAGATCTCGGAATATGATGTTTATACTTCATGTATAAATGAGATTCAGGAATTGTATCGTTCGAGGAGCGGTTCTACGAGTACTCGTTTGCCAGGGATGGAAGAGTACCTATCTTGCGAACAAGAAGCGACCGGAACCATTAAAGCTCCCAGGGACTTGTCCACCATAGAACCTTCCGAGGAAGAGGTTTCTATGGGGATCGAAGAGGGAAGACCACTTGCTGATTCTCCTGAGGAAAAGACAACTGAGGAGATTCCTGCAGAAGAGCCTGTTCCTAAACCTCGTTCTTTAAGATCGGGTAAGAAGGCTCTTTCTGCTGCTGAGCAAGGCGAATATGACAGGAGAATTCGTAAGCGAATACCTGTCATGGCCAAAAATTCCAAAAAGGCCAAGTTAATGGGGGATGCGATGAAATCTGCGCCCGTTGGGATTTACACTGATCGAGAGGACGAAATGCCCTAATCAACCCCTTCTATTCCTGAGGACGCTAGAGCTGGAGAGGCATCGCCCGTTATGGGTTCTGAATCCGCTCCTCTTTCTCTATCGCGAGACGAAAGTGCATGTAAGGGCCCTTCTTCTGAAGTTGCTCCATCATCTGTTCAGGATGAACACACAGGTCCGATCTATCCAACCATTCCTCCTCCACGCTCGAGAGCTCTAAAGAAATTGATTCAGGAACTGGAACGTTGGATGCAGACAATTGTTAATATTGTTAGTGTTGAAGGAGCTTCTTTTGAAGATTGTGAACCCATCTTGACCCAATGCTTAGACGATATCAAGAATAAAGGCGATGCATCATGGACTGAGCACTGTCAGGGAGGAATCGCTCTCTTGAAGGCAGAATTAGCAACTTTCAAGGAGCTGCAGCGCACCAATTTAGATTCTGAAGTGGAACCGGCTCTTTTCTTGGCGATAATCTCCAGAGCACATCATCCAGGGACCCTTCGCAAGGACTTGTTTGACAAAAAGGCCCGCATATCAGCTTTAAGGAAGCGACACTCTACAACATATGCTAAAATCAAAGGTGTTGCTTCTGATGTCCACGGTATCGAAGAGACTATCACTCGATTAGAGGCCGAGTTGGACCAGAAGAAAGCTCAATTGGCCCACTATGAGGATGTCAGAAAAGAGCTTGAGCATCAAAGTGGCCAAATTTATACGGATTTTTGTCATACACTCCACGTGGCTGAGCGGATTCGCAAAGACATTGTTGCTGCCCTTCGTATCGAAGCAGAACTCAGAAAGGAGATTGAAGAACAAGTCCGAGCAGCTCATCAGAAGAAACTTTCTGCCTTCAAGTCGAGACTAAAGTCTCTCAAGTTAATAAGGCCTGATGTTTAGATATCGTCCTGTTCTTGACTAAGGAATTTTGTATCATTTTCACTTTGTTTGTCATCATTTTGTGTTTAGATTAACAATTTTGAATGAAAATGATATCATCTTGTCTTTTACCATCTCTTCTGCTGAAACCTGATTTAAGATAATGGAAAATAGAGCTAATGCTATCAAAATTCCCTTTATTATTTATTTAGAATAATTCCATCAAATTACAATCGTTAGAGGTGTAGTGTTAACATGACGAAATACAAGATAGAATTACACTAAGAATAGGCAACCCCCAGCCTGATTTAGCTGGGGTTTAGGGGGCTACATGATTCAGGGAAAGTATCTCTTCAGGAACTTCCCATTAATCGGCATCATGAGTCTATCTCCTTCTTGGTTGATAAGGCGATATGCTCCATTCGAATAGACTGATTCTATTACGAAGGTCCCTTCCCATTTAGGATTGAACTTCCCTTTGGTTTTGTGTGTCATCACCATGGGTCGTCTGTTGGCCAACACTAAATCGCCTTTCTTGAAAACTCGTTCCTTAACTTTTTTGTTGTAGGCTTTAGAGATACGGGCTTGATATAACTCAATCTGTTGCTGAGCTTGAAGTCGTTTGTCGTCTAAGGCTTCAAGTTCTTGCAGACGTCGTTGATGCTTTTCTTCTTCTGTTAGTCCAGTTGTGATAGCGACTCTCAGAGAAGGAATCTGGATTTCCAATGGCAATACAGCCTCGCAGCCGTATACCAAAGAGAAAGGTGTGACTCTTGTAGAGGTCCTTACTGTCGTGCGGTAAGCCCACAGACATTCACCAAGTCTTTCATCCCAATCGCGCCGGCTCTTGGAGACAAACTTTTTGAGGAGCTTCACTATGGTTTTGTTGAACGCTTCTGCAAGACCGTTCGCTGGTAGATGCAACACTTTGGATTCTAAATTTGTCACAAAATCTTTGAAACCCAAAGCTGACGAATTGTGTCCCGTTGTCGTGAACTATTCGTCTCGGGACTCCAAAACGGTAAACGACGTGATGCTTGATGAACTTGATCACATTTAAAGTCTTGACTTCTTTCAACGGGATTGCCTCCGCCCATTTGGAGAAATAGTCGGTTACAGCTAGAATGAATCAGTGTCCTTTGGATGTCGGAGGGGAAATCGGTCCGACGATATCCATACCCCACATTTCGAATGGCCAAGTTGCCGATGTGGGGTGTAAGTTCCCTGGTGCTTGGTGGATGAAGTCTCCATGAATTTGGCACGCGTGACAACGTTTAGCGTAGTCAACCGGGTCTGAAAACATCTTCGGCCAATAATAGCCGATTCGTCGGAGGCGATCTCCTAATTTAGCTCCGGGTTGATGAGCTCCGCACATTTCGTCGTGAGCTTCCTTAAGGGCCTCTTTTGCTTCCTTCCGGGAGAGGCATCGAAGCAAAACTCCATCATGTGACTTACGGTACAAGACTTGAGAGACTGCGTCGTAATAGAATCGGAGGGCCTTTCGTTTGATAGAGTCCGCTTCCTTAGGGTCATCCGGCAGAATTCCATATACGGCATAGTCGATGTACGGGAATCGCCAATCCCTAGATTCGAACTCCATAAATGTCGTACAGACTTCACCTGACGTCGTCTCGTCTGGGTTTTCCTCCATGGGGATCTTGGAAGAGCATAGTTTTCGTCCCGCGACTGGAATCGTTGCTTCAGCTCCCGGTGGCAATGCTAATGAAGTTGCCAAAGAGGCCAGAGCATCTGCATACGCAATCTGAGCTCGTGGTACATATTCGATAAAGAATCCTTCGAACTTTTGAGCTTGCTCTAGCACTACGAAGTAATACGGGATCAAATCCTCATGACGTACTTCGTATTCTCCTCGGACTTGATTAACGATGAGTTGAGAGTCACCGTAAGCCTCAAGGTGCTGAACATTAAGTTCTTCAGCGAGAGTCACCGTAAGCCTCAAGGTGCTGAACATTAAGTTCTTCAGCAAATTGCATTCCTAATAGCAGAGTATTATACTCGGCTACATTGTTGGTGCAAGGTTCGATTAAGGAGAATCCCCTTGGGATTACGTGACCATTCGGGGAGATTAGCACTACTCCTACTCCCGCGGTAATTACTCTATAAGGGTTTGCTCTGGATGCACTGTCGAAGAATAACTTCCACACTTGCGTAGCTTCTTGAGTAACACAAGTTTCGGCGACTTCATCAGGTAATTCTTCATACAACTTAGACGTTCCTGACACTGGATGATCGGCTAAGAAGTCGGCCAGTACTTGACCCTTGACCGCCTTTTGAGGCATGAACTGCATGTCGTATTGTGACAAGAGAATGGCCCATTTTGCAAGCCGGCAATTTAGAGATGATGGTTTCGTCATCAGAACTCTCAAAGGGTTTACCTTAGAGATGACGTGAATTGTTTGTCCAACTAGGTAATGTCGCATCTTTTGAATTGTGAATACCAAAGCGAGACATTCTTTTTCGACCGGATTGTGCTGGTGTTCGGATCCCATCATAGTCCTGCTCAGGTAATAGATGGCTTGCTCTTGACCTTGATCATTATTCTGAGTTAACAAAGCACCAAGAGAATGATCCATGGCCCTCACATATAACAGGAATGGTTTTCCTGATATTAGGGCCACGAGAACTGGCGGTTGAGTTAGATATCTTTTAATATCTTCGAATGCTCTTTGACACTCTGCATCCCAAACAAATGATATTCCTTTCTTCATGAGTTTAGAGAAAGGTTGGCAGTGCCCTGACAGATTTGATATAAATCTTCGAATGTAGGCCAGTCTGCCTTGCAAACCTCTGAGCTCTTTGAGATTCTTCGGAGGTGGCATGTCTTGAATGGCACACACTTTCTCTGGATCAAGAGAGATTCCCTTGGAAGTAACGATAAATCCCAGGAATTTTCCGCTTGAAACTCTGAGAAACGATTTTGTCGGATTCATAAAGGGAAAACTCTGAGACTCGTTCATACCCCCAGCCCGATAGTACAACTCATCGATCAGATGACCGGAGCAACCTATCATGTATTGACATGACTCCCCTGGTATAACGTTATCATCGTCAGATGAATACGTTTCTTTCATGGGATTTGCCGCTTTATTAGCATTCTTAAGAGTCACGTGTTTAGAACTACGCTTTTGGGAGCGCAGGATCTCAACAGGCTCTTGGTTTTGGATACACACCCCCAGGCGGGCGGAAATTGGAGTTTTCCCTTTATGAGAAGGCTTGAAATTGTTGCGAGGGCGTGTGCGACCTCCAGCTCGACGAGTCGCTCGGGGTTCAGTCACCGGACCCAAGCGTTCTTCGATCAGAACTTTGCCTCGATCCTCGTGCAAAGGACCCAGGCGATCGACTATCCTCACTTTGAATCGGGACAAATCCACGTTGTCACGGTGCCCCGCCGGAGGTACGGAACTCACAGGGATCGACGAAACAGGTGTAGAACATCTTCTGCCTTGACTCTGGCGCGGGTCAGATTTAAGTGACCGACAGGTTGGAGGGTCGGATTCAAGTGACCCGCAAAGTGGAGGGTCGGATTTGGGTGACCCGCAAAGTGGAGGGTCGGACCCAAGTGACCCACGATTTGGAGGGTCGGATTTGGACGACCTGCAGATTGGCGGGTCGGATTTTGGTGACCTGCAGATTGGCGGGTCGGATTTTGGTGACCTGCAGATTGGCGGGTCGGATTCAAGTGACCCGCGATTTGGAGGGTCGGATTTGGGCGACCTGCAGATTGGCGGGTCGGATTTTGGTGACCTGCAGATTGGAGGGTCGGACCCAAGTGACCCGTGATTTAGAGGGTCGGATTTGGGCGACCTGCAGATTGGCGGGTCGGATTTGGGTGACCTGCAGATTGGCGGGTCGGATTGGAGTGACCTGCAAATTGGCGGGTCGGATTGGAGTGACCTGCAAATTGGCGGGTCGGATTGGAGTGACCTGCGTTTTGGCGGGTCGGATTGGAGCGACCTGCGTTTTGGCGGGTCGGATTGGAGTGACCTGCAAATCGGCGGGTCGGATTGGAGTGACC